AGCCCTAATCCTTCAAAAAACCCTAAACCTTAGGCCCTAAACCCTAAACCCTAAGAGCTCTAATCCTTCAAAAAACCCTGAACCTTAGGCCCTAAACCCTCCAGAGGCGATACCCTTACCATGCCTGACCTACTTGGAGGTTCATGGGTAGTTATAAGTTAGTTATAAGTACGGTTAAAAGTCCCCTAAAATGGGTTATAGTTACAGTTACCCTACGTATACTCCCATTTATAATGCCCAAGAATCCCCTAAACCCTAAACCCTAAACCCCTAAGCCCTAAACCTTAAGCCCAAAAGCCCTAATCCCTCAAAATGCGACTCCAGAGGCGATACCCTTACCATCCCTGACCTAGGCCCCGGGCTACGATCACTCCGAAGCCGTTGCTGCAGGCGAGGGCCTGGCTGGGGGTTCAGGGTTGAGGGTTTAGGGTTCAGGGTTTAGGGTTTAGGGTTCAGGGTTTAGGGTTTAGGGTGTAGGGTTCTGAATTTTAGGGTGAGGTTGAAAGTTGGGATAGGGCTTCTTCAGGTTTGTAGATTATTTTGAAGTTTTGGTTGTATTTCCGGGCTTGATAAAGGGTTTGGTGGGTTTATATAGCGTTTCACCAGAGATTCATTGGTTGAGGATTTTGGGTTTAAAGCTAGGGTCTATTGCTTTTTTAAGGACAAGGATGCTTTGTTTGAAGGCTCAGGGCTCAAGCTTGGGCTTTATCGGCGTTTTTATATCTGCTTCCGTGGCTTTAGTATGCCAAGCCTATCCCTACAGAAAGTTGATGCTTCTGTCCTACTGAAGGCCTAGAAAACCTTGAGGTCTTCACACTTTCCAGAGCAGGGTTCGTGATTGAGGGCTTCAGTTCTCTGGTCGGAACCGGGAATCGCATGACCACCGAATGAGCTGCAAGAGGGTTTAGAAACGCCTTATTGGGGATAGAGCTGTTGATAGTTGTCTGCTACCACCAAAATCCTACACACTCGACCTTACAGCCTACTGCCGCTGCTGCTGCTAACGTGAAAGTGCAACGGAGACACCCGAATGATTTCTCGATCGACCCCATGGATCTAGAGGATTTGGACTTTGGGAGCATTTCGGGCTTAGGATAAAAGGTCCCGTGGATAGGGGGGAAGGTTCCATAGGAAGGCGGCTCTTACGTGATTTCTACCTTGCTTGCATCAGAGCACCCTGAATCATATTTGTATATGAAACACTGAAATTCACATGTGGTGGGTTTTGAACCTCTTTAAGCACAGTAGTGCTGCTTCTGCAGTGACGCCCGCAGCATGACACTTGGTAATGAAACTGTGGGATATCGCACAACACCGCACGAAACCGTGCACAAACTTGTCAGTGGCCCTGAATCTTCACGCCTGGTTTAGTTATTTAAGTGCGGAGCCTGAGGAATCCTCATGTGGTTAAAGGAGGCTTTAGTTTGTTCAAGCAGCGGTAAACCTCGAAAAGGATACGTCTTCAACACCATGAGCTCATCCCCCCCCCCCCCCCCCCCCCAGGCTCTGCATGAGCCCCGTGGCTCTCGCGCCTCCGTGATGGACGCCCCGTAGTCCTTGAGTGCTTTCTCCTGCATCAAGCAACTTCAGAGACATGTCGGGCCGGGTCAGCCGACGGATTCAGGATGTTCCCAGAGGATCATCAGCATCGGCTATGTAGATGTGGGAGGAAAGAAGATATTGCTTCAGCTTTCGTCCTTTCGTCCAGAGCTTCCGTTCGCCGTTCAGCGGCGTTTCTGTTTGGGAAGCCGCTTAGCATGTTGCGACACACTGAGAGGGTGCGCCCATACCGGGGTTTTAATGCAGACTGCAAGACTTGAAGACGAATAACGGACACGGTCATCATCGATATTGCGCTGCTTGCAACTGTCACCATCATACCATCACCATCACAAGCGCCGCAGCCATCGTCACCATCGCCTCGTTGCTCTTGTCATCCCAAGCCAAGACCATGACACTGAACAGAACATGATCAGTCTTAAGCCTGTATCCCCCCAACCTCGTCAAAAGAAAGAGATGCCCTAAACCTCAAGCCCTACAGTCTAAAGACAGACCCTAAGGGTCCATGTACCTAAATCGTATATACTTTGGCCCCAAAGCACCTATATAGGGACTACTTTAAGGCCAAAGTATATACTAGTTGGGCACATGGGACTTTCCGAAAATTAGGGTACCTTATTTTGGCGTCCTTATAATAAGGAACCGATTATTTAGGGTACTATATTAGGGTCCCCCTATTTTTGGAAACCCCCACATGGACCCTTAGGGAGAGACGCCCACGAAGTCGCCTGGAGATTTCCCTGCATGGCCGCGCACAAGAGCTGGGCCCCAGCCAGGATCAGTCCTCTCTGCTTAGGGTTTAGGGTTTAGGGTTTAGGGTTTAGGGCTTAGGGTTTAGGGTTTAGGGTTTAGGGCTTAGGGTTTAGGGTTTAGGGTTTAGGGTTTAGGGTTTGGTCTTGGCCGTCGAACTATTTTCTTGTGTATATTTATGGACTGTTTAGTATATGTTATGTATTACTTTTATATAACTATGTATGGATTCCTAGATTAGGTATTGTTTTTTGTACATGACTTAGTACACTATAGTCTTTGAAGGCATTTTAGACTCCTGATTAATAGCACACCTTGGCTTTCATGGCCCTGCCATTCGGGATCAATCCCTATCAAGGGGGGACGGGGGTTTGTTCATCAAGGGCCTACCGTCTACCGTAGCTGTAGCTACCTTGCCGCGGGGGGTGTCCTTCGGGTTTCAAGGTCTAGGGTTGAAGTTAGGTTTCAGTTTTCAGTCAGTTTGCCGGAGGCCGCTTTCTCCTGGGTTGTATCGATTTGGGGATCTGGAGTTGTCAGGCATATAGGCTTCAGGATGTTGGGTTTAGACTCCTGGCGTAGGGTAGAGAAGCTTTAAAGTCTATAGAAGTTAGTGCAATTCCTAAGCGGTGAGAGTTTCCGGCTCAAGTCTCAAGGGTCAAGGGCTTCGTGGCGATTTGCGCCTGCGCACTACTCAATGATACGAGTCGCAGCGCAGAAAGCTGTCTTGGCTCGTTCTGCGGGGTACCCTACAAACCCCAAGCCCCGAAAGCCCCAAACCCTGAGACCAAAATTGAACCCTAAACCTAAACCCTAAATAATTCCAAATAACCAGAACCCCTGCGCCCTGAGCCATGAACCCTGCTGGATACTGACAGGACTTTCAAAGGAGGCTTAGGGGTGTGGGTTCTGCGCTTAGGCATTCGAGTTTAGGGCTTACGAGGTATTTTCCGAAAGCCTTCGAACCTCCTTGCAAGAGCTCTCGTTGCTCCAATTCCTCTCAAAGTGACTCACCAACCAAGAAGTTGACGCCCTGAACCCAAAACCCTGAGAGCTGTAATACCTCATGAGGCCGAAACCACCCTAAAGCCTCCCGAAATCTGGCTTGTTTCGAACCCTGAGTGCATCACCGACGAAACCCTGAACCCCACCGGAATCGAAACTGAAGCTCAAGCCATCCCTTCACCAGGCTATCCAAACTTTTTGGGGTCCCTCTACCCTATACCCGACTTTAAAAGCTTGTTTAAGGTGTAAGGTTTTAGGGGCTTTACTAAATTTGAGATCTAACGCACATCGCATGGCCCGCCTATTGGATCGAAACTTGGGGTCACCGCCTGCACACATCTTCGACTGAGGCTTTGGAGTGTTGGCTCTTCCTTCGATGTGGCTTCAAGGTTTCGAGTCAGGGATCATTTGGGAGGCCTGGTGGGCTCCTTCCGAGCCTCAAGACTCAAGAGAACACCACACCAGCACTAGGGGCCTTTCAGAAAGGAATCCTTTCGAGTTTGGAATAAGCCTAAACCCTAGATCAGAATAGGGTTTAGTTTTGGGGTATATCTACTATAACTATAAAAATGAACCCCCAAAAAATATTATAGGTAATTCTTAAGGCCCCTATATTATATTTCTACAGTGTCAACCCAAAAGGCTGGGCTCGGCGGTCTTGCAGCGCACGGCCAGGCCCCGGCAATTATAGGGGCCCTAAGACTTGGAATAGGGTTTCGGGGTATCTTTAAGGGGGTTTAGGGTTTAGGGTTAACCATACTTATAGCATGGAACCCCCCAAAAAGTAGAATAGGTAAGTAGTTAAGCCCCTATACAAGTATTTGGTCTAAGCCACCAGCAGAGAACAACAGGAGGGCCCCGGAGAAAAAAGGGACATGTCGATGGCCACTAAGAAGAATCGGTCCAAGGTAGAACGACACAGCGTGAGTCTTTTGCAACAGCAGAGAGACTTGGGTATGAATGGCAACGAGGAACCTCCTCTCTGTGAGCTGCTTGCAGTGGATCCTGGTACCGGCTAAAGCAAAAACTCAAGGTACTTTGCAGGGCTCTCTCCACCCGTGTGGGTGAGAGTTTCTGGTAGGAAGTGCTGAGACGGTCAGTGACACATGTTCAGATGCATTGCCTGGGCTGCGACCATAGAAATGCATCGCTCACTAGCAGCGGCTGTGAGGCTTAAGAACTCTTGCTTGGGGTGCCATGGTTGCAGGGTCAAACCTTGGAAGCAAAACCGCTGAAAGCCTGATTTATGAAACTCTTGCGATGGCTGAAGTTGCTTGAGGGTGTAAACAACGTGAAACTTTGAGTACAACTTGGTTTTCAAAACCGCAGCAGTTTGCAACCATGCCTGCTCACCCAGGGCCATGAACGCGGACGAGAGCACCAAAAGAACGGCAGCCGCCCACTCCGCAAGCGAAACTTTGCGCTCTAGCCAGATGACCTTCGCAGGTCACGTGTCACTGCCATCACAACACTGGAGATATTGACTGAGGTAGTAGCACTGGGAAGACAGGAAGTGACGATTACCGGCAAAGGCAGCAAGAATATTAACAACGGTTGAATCATGAACTCATGGTCATGGCCACGATCATCTTCGTCCTGGCCCATATTCTCGTTTACATCCTCCACACGTTTCTCATCATAATCACAACCATCAGCATGATCTTGATCATACTCGCCGTCCGCGGCATCATCAGCAACGACAGCAAACAACAGTACCACTACATGTCTGTCAACATATACGGATGAAGGTGTCCTGCTGGCAACCGTGCAATGATGAATATTATGAAGATGACGAACATGCTAGTGGTGGCGATGATGATGATGATGACGGTCATGATGATGATGATGTTGATGATGATGATGATGATGATGACCATGACGATGATGATGATGCTTGATGGCGAGGGCGATGACGATGTGGCGGCGGCAGCGGACAACTAGCAATTCCCTACCAGTCGAAACCAAGCCTGTGCTGCAAGAACATGCAAAGCTAGAACAAACACTTTCCGCGACAGCGGGCCCGACAGCAACACTGGACCTGAGACAACCAGCACTGACGGCAAGCATTGCTGCGTCGATAGCATGAAAGAATGACAGATGAAAGACAAGTAGTCTCAGCTGATGAGGCAACGGTACCAGCGACGGTTATGCTTATTTTTGCGGCGACAGCGATGCGCTTGACGATGGTACCGAAAACGGACATCCGAAGTCTAGTCATTGCAACGAGGCCGCTGAGTCCGATCCCCGCAAACGAAGCCCCAGGTTGAAGTTTACTGGCCCAAAAGGGTTTAAGGTTTATGGTTTAGGAACAACCCCTGACACTCCCTTAGCTGATAGCGCCCAAGGCGCCGAGATCAGCAAGGTGGGCACCAGCTTTCCGCTCTTGATCACCGTGTTCGTGGCATAGTTGAGATACCTACTAGCCGAAGGACGGCAGGCTGGAGCATCGGCTGCTTAGCCACCGGGGTTTGTATTGAAGGCCTGTTCTGCGTATCACGGCCCTGGCCGTCGGAGCAATAGCAGTTCTGTGCGCAGATCTGCAGTTTTCCGGTACATGGGCCATGGTTGGGGTTTAGGGCTTAGGAAGCAAACGGTTGAAACCACATGCAATGAGCACAAGCCGCAGAGCCAGCAACCGCTGCACACTCGCTTCAAGACCTGTTAACCCTACACCCTAAGCCCCTAAA